GGCTCAGATGAACGCGAGGACGAGGGCGAGAGCCAGGGCGGTGTCACAGTTGCGCCCCCCCCTTCTTTCTGGTCTTGGCCGCTCGGCCGATGTCGGGTGGTCCCAGGGCCTTTCTCTCGGGCTCCCCTCGGCCGTGGCACGCCTGATGCTTCTGTGTCCCATACGGCGACGTCCTCGTCCTCGCCGCTTCGACTCCGCAGTTAAGGCCAAGCGGAGATGGGGAATTTCGACCAGGAACGAATCATACATTTATAATACCCTCTGCGTCAGGTCAGCCGCGGCATCGGCTATATCCTAGTGCTGCTGGCAGCCCTGGTCAACATCACGAAACCCCCTAATTTGTGCTTGTGGACGTGATGATCAGGGAGCGCCCATTGGAATGTCCCCCCCGCCATTCGCCTTTGAACACCCCTTCCCCCCTTTCTCACCCCGATTTCCACGGACACGTTTTAGAGGATCAGATCGCTGACCGGAGGAGCGTCCGTCAATCAATCTGTCGAAACCCCTCCTTTACACACCAAGAAACTCTCTTGTGATACCGTGCACCGCCAACCCGCCTGTTGAGTTTGAGTCGTTGAATAATTCTGGTATGCACTCGTGTTCGGTGACGTAGGATATGCTATCCCTCGACACCGTTGACGCGGTCAGTGATGGATTTTGACATGGGCTAGCAACATCGTCGTCCTCTCAGAGGCCGAGACATGCATCAGTGCGGCGCCGCCAGCAAGGAAGCTGTCCCGCCGCAAGATCTCCCAGATTGCCAGAACTGGAACGTGCCGCGGGGGGGTTACCAGCAGAAGCGCATGCGAACTAGTAAGAACCCCCCTCTGCTGGATCCATTTTCCAGCATGTGCATGCGTGGGAGGGTCAGTGTCGTTTTGGTTGGTCTGAGATAAGCCAGAGATGGCGCCGATGTGACAAGTGATTGGTCGACTCGTCTTTATTTCTCCATGTCGATGTATTGACAACGCGATAGACGGGGCCATAGCCCAACCTCCAGAACAGCTTCAACTGGAACGAGATGTGCCGAATCGCAGCAGTGCCAATGTGAACCGAGCCAGCCTCTATTGGCCAGCACTCAGATTCGCCCGAGAGGCACCATCGCGATTGGGCAACGATCGATGGCGGCGCGCGACAAGGCATTGAGGGTTTTTTTGGTATTTCGATCGCGCTGGCTACGGCTCTGGCGCTCAGAAGAAAAAGGCCCCTTCCCTCCGTTCGCCGTGGGTGTTCTGCCGTCCACGGATTCCAATTCTGGCGTTGAAACCCCATAGCCCCTCATTCGCAATGCCCCTCCATGCACCACATATATGGCCTGACGGGCGAACCATCCTAGACGACCTTTCGCGCAGAAGAAAGGTGGGACAAAAAGGCAACAATAGTGACACGACGAAGTGATACGAGGCTGCTGTCTGTTCACCATTGGATGGTCATTCAGGGTATCCTCCGGACCTTACTTTCCTGAAGATACGGAAGCACTGTCTTTTCGTGATTGTGTCTCTGTCGCTCCGATAATTGTGGTGTGGGCGATCAAATTATCGACGAGCACATGTCCGCGGCACATGTTCGATCAGCCCTCCCTCCTGATGGTGTGGACGAACCACTGACTACAATGGGTTCGGCTGTTGTCCCGGGCTGAAGGGTTGCAGTGGATGACGGCGCTGCGTCAATAAAAAAAGGGTCCCGTACCAGGAGGCTGGAGGGGTTCGATGGGGGTGCACCACCTGCAAGACGCCAACAGCACGTTGCAGCTTTGGCCGGCGGGCAGGACCTTGGAGGCGACATCGGCCGAGGCGACCTCTTTGAAATCGGATTTGGTGATTGGTGGGAGCTCTGGGGTCTTTCGACGATGACATTTTTTGTTTCGCGAGATGCGACGGATGCGCAGGGATCTCCCCTCGAGCACGAGCCAGCCACCGAGACTTTCATATCCTTGCAGCTCTGCATGCGGATGTGGGGTGCATCTTGGGGACGGGGGTCCTGGCCTACGGGGCGATTGGGCAATTGGGGTCGCATGTCTGGCCTGAACAGATGTGTGGTGTTGAAATTTGTCTGACACCAAATATTTTACTGCGCCAAAGACATTCATGCCAGTCGATTCGCTCGAGGGTCCGTCAAGGCTTCGACAGGCTCCGAAATGGCCAGTCTCTGGTTGGATGGCGGAGGAGACCGCCGCCACTTGTTACTGGAGCTTCTTTCTCCCATGGAGAATACCCCGAACGGCGCCACCAGGGCGGGGATGTCCTTCATGAGTAGAGGGAGGGAGAGACTCAGACATGGCTGCGCTTCAAGGTGTACCGTTGGCTCTCGACAGGCCCGTCGTCATTTCCAGAGCTGGTCAGCCGCTGGCTGAGGAAGAGGCTGCTGCTGAGGCTGCATAACATGAGAGAGCGCCGGCACTCACCGCCCAGCCAGACGAGGCCAAGAAACGGCAAGCGCTGTGTTTGTGACGCCGGTGAGTTGGCTGCTCAGCGACCAGACCGAAGGGCTACTTATGGACCAGGGTCACAATGGCCCGAGATGTACGTGTTGAGCACGTAGGGCTTTGGTGAAGTGGACCGATGAGACAGCATGTTGAACGAGGGAAGCGGGTTTTCTGACACGTGCTTTGCCCCTCC